GGCCGAGTTCTATCCGGTCACTCTGGCGTCGAAGCTTTGCTACTTGTGAAAATCGGCGACGACAACTCTATTTTGTCGCTTCGACTCCGTCTTCCTCTGCGTCAACTGCGACTCTCATCACCCTGCGTCTAGCCCCTGCGAGGTCTGCGAGCAAGCTCCAAGATCGAGAGACCGAGGTGAGCAGGGAGGATGGCGAGGCTGCTCTCGAACCTAAAGGCTATGGAGAATCCGGATCTGAACTCAGGTTGTAGAAATGGATCCATATCTGGATCTAGACTACCAGCATGTGGATCCGATGCTTGAATAAGTTCAGGAGCAGGACATCTGCAGCACAGACGGAGTCGGTTTGGTGTGGCGGTCGTGAAGATGGAGGGGATAGCACCCCGACTAATTATCCCGAGCTTTTGTGGTGTTTTAATAGTACGGTGTCAACCGTATAAAATTTGATAGACCGGATAATTTAGCGGGTGCTTATTTAGTACGATAGTGCACCAAACAACTGCTCCCGTATTATTTATCCTATCCAATGCTTTATACGGCGTGACAAACGAGGCCCTATATTTTATGATTGTTTAAAATTGTTGCAAGGGATGGCTACTCTAAGAAGCATATGAATTGCATCAAGAACATAGTGCAGTTTTCTCAATTTTCCTTCATGCATTAATTTAGATTAGAATTGATGAACAATCTAATAGAATTTAATTATTCTTTAAGGTCTTAATTTGGTCATTAGGTCTAGTGAAATAATTCTCAGATGGCTAGTGTCTTGCTATCCACGAGATTCGAACCTAAGACCTCTCACTTACAAGTGAAGATGAATACTACCATACCGTAGTACTGAGTGGCTTGAGTTATAAATAATTTGGATGCTTTATTCTTTCTTTGATCCACATGTTACATTTGACCGCTAGAGGTTAAAATATACCGACCTCTCTTGTGTAGGGTTCAAATCCCCAACTTTAATCATGTTCTCAAGGATCTGAGAATAAAAGGATAATCTAATAGTCTTTAAAGGGTTAAAAAAAATATTTTTAAAACCTTTTCCATTATTTATTTTCCCCCTAGTTGACATATATTATATACTCTTCTTCAAGCATTTCCAATGGTCGAAGCAAAAATAGGAAATCTAGAGTTTGTTATAACTTCTCCCTTTGCCGCAACGAAAGTTACCAGTTAAAGCATCACACAAATATGCAAATAGTTTTGAGCTCCAAAGTAGGAGCTAAATGGCAGGTAGTCCAACCCAAGGTATTAAATATCGATGATATCGGAAATATTAGTAGTCCGAAAACACGGAAATATCTACGGAAATATCGGGATATTATCGATATCGATAAAAATAATATAGAAACCACGGAAATTGTAAGAAAAACTTGGAAATTTTTATTGAAACTTTGCAGGATGTTTATTTAGTCAATTATCTATTAGTTTATCACAAAAAATTGGAAGGAAATGCATTACATGATGGATTTAACTAATTTAAGTTGATTATATAGCGAGCTGGCAAACATTGTGAATGTAGAAAATATGTAGTAATTAATAAAAGAAATTTAAACACACCATAATCATTTATATATAATTAATTAGTACATTATTTTACACTTTATATTACACCATAATCATTTAAATCTCTACCGTTCATTCCTATTGATTACCCTCTCTCTTATTAGTCAGACCTAATTCACTAACCCTCCCCTCTCCTTCTCTTTCTTATTCTCAGACTCCACTTCGAGTCTCCTCCTCCGGTCTTCCCTCGATCTCTCCTCCTCCGGTCCTCCCTCTCAATCTGATCCCTCTCGATCTAATCCCTCTCGATCTCTCTCTCCCACAGTCTCTCTCTCTTTCTCCTATCTCACCCGCCCTAAACCCAGTTGTCGACACGATCTCCTCCCTCTCGATCTCTCTCTCACACAGTCTTTCTCTCTCCCATCTCACCCGCCCTAAACCCAGTCGTCGACACCACTCCATAACCGCCTTGCAAACCACCTTGTTCCATGGAGAAGCCGTGTCGTTAGTCCCAGTCGGCGAGTCGTAACTGTCGCGTCATCGCAAATCAATGGTTGTGGAGAAACTGAGCGGAGGCAACAGACACCGGACGATGGATCGGAACTCATCGTAGTCGTCGGTGAGGAGGACGACATTGTCCCAACCGTCTTGGATTCGTGAGGAAGACGACGTTCCCAGGCTCCTACTTCTCTTCTTCTCGGCATGTAATTTCATTTTTGTACAGAATTCGAATTTTCGGCATGTAATTTCATTTTTGTACTGAATTCGAATTTAGGGATTTAGGAATTAGGGATTCAGTTAATTTGCTTTGAATTTGAATTTGGGGATTTAGGGATTCGGTTAATTTGCTCCGGCATTCTTCTCCGATTAACACAGTGTCAAAATATCGCGATAGTTTCGAAAATATCACGATATTATCGATAATATCGCGATATTTTGACGAAAACTATTTGGATAGTTAAAAAAATATCGGTCCCCGTAAAACCGATAATATCGGCGATATATCGCCGATATTATCGGCATTTTGTACCATGGTCCAACCACAAGATGTAATATACCCCGGTCAGATGTTGTGGTTACACTCATTTTCTCCCGCCCAATATTGCAGCAATAATAAAAGAGCATTAAAAGTAGTGGTATATGTTGCTTACGTACACTCAAACACTTAAAAGAAGCTTAATTAATCCTTTTGTTTATATCTAATATTAAGTACTTTTACAACTGAGACATCACGTTGCTTTCGAATTTGGATTGTGTATTTATTTTTCTTTTGCTCACAATCAAATGTAGATGGCCTGTGTACCGCAAAAACTGCGTTAAAACTAAAAGCCAAACCATTGGTTTATTTGTCAATAAACTACGTACCGGCATTGCTTTATTCCTCAATTGCAGAGATTCTGTAATGCATAAACTAAGGGAAAATTGATAATAAATTTAACAATAAAAATACAAGAAAGAACCAAATGGGATGTGTACATAAATAATGCAGAAAAATATTCTTCGTCTACATTAAGAAAATAGAAAAATGACATGCATGCTACGTGAAGGTTGGGGACTCTCTAGCCAAAGTAGCCGGCGAGGCCGGCGAGGGAAGGATTCTTTCAATTCAGACCTTGAATTAGTTAGTAATAAGTTCGAATGGCACGAAGGGGAACTGGCCAAAGGAAAGAACAAGAAACTGTATATGACGGCATATGACGGCAGTATATGCCAACATGTAATTTTTTAAAATTATATCCCATTTTTATTTCTCTTGTTGATGGTGAACAACATGGCAGATTAGTAAATATAATTCTTTATAATTGTCACTTAGCATTACGGTCTAATGAAATTCTTCATCATTGATAAGTGAGAAGACTATTAAGTTCGAATCTCGTGGATAATAAGTTCAAAATCAATTTATTCCTACACTCGTTGGTAAGTATATCTTTGTATTGATAATAATAATTGAACATTGTGAATAGTTTTTATATTGCTCTCGTCAAGTAAGATGAAACTTGCGTTGATTAGATTTTGATTTTGGTTCTTTGTTAGGTACATTATTATAAGTTATCTACCTACGTACGTGCATTATCATAGTAATGTACCTAATTCAGTGACCAAGCTAAAATCTGATTTAACATTGAGCTAGGCTTGTTTGAGATTGTTTTTATACGAAATGCTTTGGTTAGAAGTGCTTTTGTTGGAAGAATGCCGATTTCCATGTATTCTTAGTGCTTTATGGAAACCACTTCAAGGCTTTCGAAAGAAGGTCCTAAATGCTTTTTAGAAACTACTTTTATGACTTATAAGAAACTTTAAGTATTTTTGTCAAAACGCAATCAACAACCCATTAAATTTGTCAAAGAATATTTTTTATCTGTCTAAAAGTACTTCCAAACATACCCTTAGTAAAATACGTATCGTCCATAAAATTTGCACTCCAAATATTGAAAATTGAAATTACTATACTAAATAGTTCTTAAGTTGTACTTTTTTGCCACCTAACTTAAATTGTATATGCTATATAAAATCAAGTTAAAGCTGTATATAGTGAACTAGTCTGCATTAATTTGCATAAAAAATAATTTATTCATGCATTATTTGAAGCTAGTGAATGTGACAATGGTCAAAAAAATTAATAAAGTGGCATATATTTATATGTCCTTCTAGATAAAGTATGACAATCCCCCTTCCCTTCCTTCCCATGTGTCATTGAATGATAGGCAAGAAAGCTTCCACGTTTGAATATTCACACCTCAAATTTCAATTCTCATATCCTTTATGGATCATTCTGTCAGGAGTTCAAAGATTTGAAAATTCAGATTATTGAAAAAAGAGAAAAAGAGTTTTGAACTCTTAATTTATGTAAGATGAGTCAATGAAATAAACTAATGAGACTCATAAAATTTAAAATAAATAGTATAAATATCCAGATCCGTCCACTACATAGAAATCTGGCGGAAAAAATCTCAATTCCTCAAACCGTAGTAGCTAATTATTATTCCCATCTTCCGAAGCTATTGACTTGGAAGTTATAAGTAGCTCTCAATTAGTCCCCATAATAATTTCAATTTTCCAACAACCTTTGATTTTAATTTTGCATTTTTTTATTTCAATTAGCTGTCCTCTCCCCAAAATTGGAGTCCATATCTAGCTCTCATTGTCATCACACGTCTGCTCCACTGTCCATCTTTCACATGCATTATTTTGGACAAAATCAATAATGTTCACTGCAGATATTCACAATCCGTTTTTTTGGACGAGATATCCACAATCCTATATGTCAACTTTTTCTTACTTTATTTTTTTTTTCACAGACAAGTTTTCTAGCGTGACAATATGAGGTTAGAGGAGAGAGTATTCAATGAGGTTGCCGCAAACCAGTAGGTGGGACATGGTCGAGATGCTCGTATTGAAGCTTGTTTCTTAGGGGCATGAGGAGAATTGTATTACTAATTCACATGTGATAAAACGAAAGAGCAAATAATTTTAATATGTTATGAGATATAAGATAATTGTTATAAAATGAATAAACTAATAACATTACGCCTGAATTCCACCGAAAAATTTCTTGTTTGTTGGGTTGTAAGTTGTTTGTATTAATCTTTAGGGGAAAAAACAAAGAAGCAGTCATGTCCTGCACTGCACATGAAGATTTGTCCAAGATTCCTGCATGCCCAAGAACATATATTTAGAAGCCTTCCAAAATCCACTGTGTGCAAGTCCATTTTTTAATCAAGTTACTCATGCTATATAAACACAATAACCATCATCAAAATTACACACACACCAGAAAACTGAGGGCAAAAGAAAAGAAGAATATACGGTTTCTTGAAAAAGAAACTACCAGCATTGGTTTTTTTATTTCTAAATTCTCCATTTCAAGCTTGTGAACTGCAAAATTTGACCAAACAAAGAAGAAAGTTTGCATCTTTGTGAAATTGGTGTTTTGAGTTTGCAGCCATTGAGGGGTTTGCATTGGGCATTCTTAGTATAAGGGGGGAGAGAGAGAGAGAGAGAGAGAGAGAGAGAGAGAGATGGGTACTTATGTAGAGGATGGAGTTCCTCATGAAGGAAAGCTGCAATCAAATGTTGATGTAATTGGTAAGTCCCTCTGATTAACCCAGTAGTAATTAATCTTATCTGATTTATTAATCTCAACATGTTTATGCAAAACTGGAAAACGTCAAAGATTATATTAGATTTCAGGGAGTTATGAATTTTTTCTTTCTTCAATTTTGGTATATAAATTTGCATTTTTATGTAAAAAATCTATATGCAGTTGCCAAAAATGTGTTCTTGAACAGATGTCAAAGAGAGAGAGGGTTGAGAGCCATGAGAATTTTCACTTTCTTGAAATGTTTCTTAAGTTTGAAGAAATGGGATCTATATATTTTTAGCAAAATCTTCCAAGAACAAGTAGTTTTTGCAAATTTTAATCTGCAATATTGTTGCCAATTTTGTTGATGCATCAGATGATGAAGTGAATGACAGCCCAATAGAGCAAGTGAGGCTAACAGTTCCAATAACGGATGACCCTTCAGAGCCGACCTTGACGTTTCGAACATGGGTTCTTGGGATCATTTCATGCTCAGTTCTTGCCTTTGTCAACCAGTTTTTCGGGTATCGCCAGAATCAGCTCTACGTTTCTTCAGTCTCAGCGCAAATTCTTGTCCTGCCTCTTGGGAAGCTGATGGCTGCTACTCTTCCGAAGAGAAGAATCCGACTTCCGTTTAGAAATTGGTCTTTTTCATTGAATCCGGGGCCTTTCAACTTGAAAGAACATGTGTTGATCACTATATTTGCCAACTCAGGATCGAACAGTGTTTACGCTGTTAACATTATCACGATTGTCATGGCTTTCTACCACAGACCAATGCATCCTGCAGCTGCCTTCTTGTTAGCACAAACCACTCAGGTAAATTTGGACACCAATTGCTAATTTGTGACAAGTGTTGTTTGGTAACTGTGTAACCGTGCTGTGAATTCATACTTTTTGGAATGTGTGTGAAAACTTTTCAGATGCTTGGGTATGGATGGGCTGGCCTTTTCAGAAAATACCTTGTTGACTCTCCTTACATGTGGTGGCCTTCAAATCTTGTTCAAGTCTCTCTTTTCAGGTATCTTATTGAACCGGTTTATCCACTTAAAATTGAACAGCATTTCTTCGATTCTTCTGTAATTAATGGAAGCGCTTATGACTTGAATGGCAGGGCACTGCACGAAAAGGAAAAGAGACCGAAGGGAGGCCGAACCAGGCTGCAGTTCTTCTTCATGGTTTTCATCTGCAGCTTTGCTTACTACATTGTTCCGAGTTTTCTTTTCCCCTCCATTTCCGCCTTCTCCTTCGTTTGCTGGATATACAAGGACTCCATCACCGCGCAACAGATTGGTTCCGGCATGCATGGCCTTGGCATTGGCTCATTTGGCCTTGATTGGTCCACCGTTGCCGGTTTCTTAGGCAGCCCTTTGGCCACGCCTGGATTCGCAACCATTAACATCTTAATCGGTTTTGTCTTGATTGTCTACATTGTTACCCCCATTGCTTATTGGAACAATGCCTATGATGCTCAAAAGTTTCCGATCATTACGTCTCACACCTTCGACTCCACCGGCCAAAGCTATAACATTTCCAGAGTACTGGATCAGAAAAATTTCGACATTAACATGGTAGGGTACAACGGTTACAGTAAACTCTATCTCAGTACCTTCTTTGCCTTCTCTTATGGACTGAGCTTTGCCACCTTGACGGCTACTATTTCGCACGTTGCTCTCTTCCACGGAAGGTAATTAAACGCATTTCCAACGTCACTTTTAACGTCAACTAAAAAAGGTCGTACGCAGTGCACAAGGCTTCCGCTTTACGCAGGGTCTGAGAGAGGTGAATGTCTGCTAGCCTTACCCCATTTATGGAGAGGCTGCTTCCAAGTCTCGAACCCGAGACCTACCACTCATGGACGAAGGCACTTGCCATCGCACCAAGTGCGACCTCTTCATTTTTAACGTCAACTGAGCAAATATTACTTTAGAGCTAATAAATTGTGCATTTTTTTCGTGTGACATATATACATGAGCAGAACAATCTGGAAGATGTGGAAAAAGACAACTAGTGCAGTGAAAGATCAGATCGGTGACATCCACACCCGACTGATGAAGAAGAACTACGATGCAGTGCCTCAATGGTGGTTTCAAATCATCCTTGTTTCAATGGTTGCTCTTGCTATCTTTACTTGCGAAGGTTTCGGAAAGCAGCTCCAACTTCCATGGTGGGGAGTTTTAATGGCTTGCGGCATTGCCCTATTTTTCACCTTACCTATCGGCATTATTCAAGCCACAACGAACCAGGTAGGTACTTTCATCTCATAAGGATTCGACGTGATCATGGAATGCCGGTTGTCGACTACCTGACGCCCTCCCCCTCCTCCTTTATCCGGGCTTGGGACCGGCAATGTAAATTTTCTTCGAAGCATGTCGAGATTAATTCCAATTTCTCGTTTGATTATGTTTGTTCTGCAGCAACCAGGGCTTAATGTGATCACGGAGCTACTCATTGGGTACATTTATCCGGGGAAGCCTGTTGCTAATGTGGCTTTCAAGACCTATGGATATATCAGTATGTCACAGGCACTCAATTTTCTTGGTGACTTCAAATTAGGCCACTATATGAAGATCCCTCCTAAGTCCATGTTTGTTGTGCAGGTAATTTAATTGCATTAATCGCATTAACTAACGGTTGGTTTGATAACCATTTCAGTTTTCAGCTCCTCAAACGGACCCTATTTGTGAAATAACTAATTACTTATACCTATTTTTCCCCTTATCTGCTTCTTCAGTTAGTTGGAACGCTAGTAGCTTCAAGTGTCTACTTTGGCACATCCTGGTGGCTTATCACAAGCATCGAGTACATCTGTGATCCAGCGAAGCTGCCAACGGGAAGTCCGTGGACATGCCCGGGAGATGATGTGTTCTACAATGCTTCAATCATATGGGGGGTCATAGGCCCCCTCAGGATGTTCGCAGGCAAAGGTGTCTACCCGGAAATGAACTGGTTCTTCCTCATTGGTTTGCTTGCACCTGTTCCGATTTGGTTCCTCTCCAAAAAATTCCCCAACCAGAAGTGGATTAAGCTCATAAACATGCCGATAATTCTAGGGGCGACAGGCTCCATGCCGCCTGCTAGGGCTGTGAACTACTTGACATGGCTTTCAGTTGGGATTTTCTTCAACTTTTATGTGTACAGAAAGTACAAGGGGTGGTGGGCTAGGCATAACTACATTCTATCTGCTGCTTTGGATGCTGGTGTGGCCTTCACCGCAGTTCTTCTGTATTTCACCCTTCAATCCAAGAATATTATGGGGCCCGGCTGGTGGGGTCTCGAAGCGGATGACCATTGTCCGTTGGCTGAGTGCCCCACGGCGCCAGGTGTAGTTGCCAAAGGCTGTCCGGTTCTCTAAGATATGATTCAAAAATCAAAACTCTAAACCCTAAATGTGTGACAATGTAATTGTGCAAAATCATATATATAGGTCAATTCTGGCAGATTGGTAATGAAATATATGAATCTGTACAGTTAAGTGATTAGTCTGAATCACCTTTGCAGCTACAAACTGAGATTTTAGTCTTCTGTAATTAAACAAGTTGTTTATAGTTTTCATAATTTGAAACTGGTGGATGCAAACAAACTTTTAGTTCTGAAATAAGCGGCATATAATCGACAATGACATGATAGTGTAACAACATAATATTATCAAATATGAACCGACTAAATAATGGGCTAGCAACTCAAATGGGCTATCAACTCAAATGGTTAGTAGCATTCACGCCTAAACTCAAGGTCCAGTATATTCAGTTTTTCCCTCCCCAAATCGTTATGGGCGACGTTTTGTTATGCACAGTACTATAGGAAATATACACGATGAAGTCGTTAATGTCAAGTTTACATTATGTCAAAAAATTTCCAATCATAGCATATAAGGATCCCGTTATATATGTTTTCCAAAGTTAGATTTGTGTCTTTGACTCTATAAGGTTCAAGTCTCTCTATTCAGGTGCCTATTCAATTTCCATCCTCTTTCTCATATTTCAAATATGATCAATTTTAGCAAAATGGGCTCATACATAGCTCAAGCAGTTAAGAGTATCTAAACCTACTTTCCGAAGTTATGTGTTCGATTCCCGCTCCTTGAATTGACTAAATTTATAAAATGTGAATTAATAGCAGGCATTGCATGAAAGGGAGAAGAGACCCAGAGGAGGCAGAACGAGATGCAATTCTTCCTCATTGTTTTCATAAGCAGCTTTGCTTACTACTACATTGTCCCAAGCTTCTTCTTCCCTTCCCTAACAGCACTCTCCTTCGTCTGTTGGATTTGGAAGGACTCCATCACCGCGCAACAGATTGGTTCCGGCCTCAGGGGCCTCAGAATTGGCTCGTTTGCCCTCGACTGGTCCACCGTTTCATAGCTTAGCAACAGATTTCGCTTGTTTGCCACCAGCGAAAGCCGTAAACAATTTGTTATGGTTTGCAATTGGACTAGTCTTCAACTTATATGTTTACAGAAAGTACAAGAAGTGCTGGGCAAGGCATAACTACATCCTATCAGCTGCTTTGGATGCCGGTATGGCCTTTACAGCAGTTATCCTATATGTCACCCACCAATCCAGGGATATTATGGGTCCAAAGTGGTGCGGTCTGGAACAAGACGACCATTGTCCGTCAGCCAAGTGTCCGACCGCACCAGGGATAGAGACTAAAGGGTGTCCAGTTCTCTAAGATATGCTTCAAAATCATCCTAGAACGTAGCAAACCATAGCCCAGTTGCTCAAATTTTGACGATGGTGATGATATTCACCATCATGGCTGGTTCGGAAAGATGTAGCGGTTTAGTTAATTAGTTTGAATTACTTTGCAGACAAGTTTTAGTCATGTGCAATCAAATAGTTTGTTTATTTTTCATAATTTGGAGCCATAGATGCAAATCATGCTTTAAAACTAAAAAAAGAATCCATTGATGTCAGTTGAACCGTATAATGTTCTTAATTAGGAGTCTAGATCCTCTTACCAGTAATCCTTGCAGGAGCAAGAACCATCTTTGAAACAATGGAACCGATTCCGGTCACGTACAACAATCTCCCTATCAACAATTGCTGATATAAGTTTGAAAGCAGCATGACAGTCCTCACAAACACGAAGATTCTTCATAATTCGAATTGGTGTTCCAGGTAATGTGTTGATCAACCCGAAAACCAGTGCTAGTTTCTCGCTGTGACGATAGAGAAATTTTTCCTTCTGGTCCTCTTCTATGTCTAGCAGAACAACCGAGGTGTTAGGCACATAACCCTTCAGCTTCATTTTCTCAACTAGTTTCTCCCACATTTGGACAATCTCCTGAGCTTGCGGATGGGTTTCATCCCCGGCAACAAACTCATAAACTACTCCATCCAGTGTGATTGAACTCCAGCCGGGAGTCTTCTTCACACCTCGATCCCTCATTAACTTTCTCACTCTCGCTGTGTCTTCCCACCGTTGTGCTTCTGCATAAATGTTTGACAAAACCACATAGTATCCATCATTAAGTGGATCTAATTCAGAAAGGTGCTTTGTTGCTTCTTCAGCCAGTTCAATGTTTTTGTGAACTTTGCATCCGCCAAGGAGAGCTCCCCATACGACGCTATTGGGCTTGATAGGCATGTTAATGATAAACTCGTGAGCCTCTTGAAGGAGCCCTGCCCTACTCAAAAGATCAACCATGCAACCGTAGTGCTCAATTTTAGGAACTATACCATAGTCGTTAGTCATGCTGGTGAAGAATTCACGACCCTGATCCACAAACCCTATGTGGCTACAAGCATGCAACAGTCCGACAAAGGTTACATCATTCGGATCCATGCCTTTCTCAATCATCTCAGAGAAAAGTCCCAAAGCTTCCTCAGCTTGTCCATGCATGGCAAGCCCTGCAATCATCGCTGACCATGAAACAACCGTTCGCTCTTTCATCCCATCGAAAACCTTACAGGCATCCTCCAAGCATCCACATTTGACATACATTTCAATCAAAGTATTGGAAACACGAACATTTCTGCTAAACCCACTTTGGTTCGAGTACTCATGAATTCTCCCACCCAAATCCAAGTCCCCCAAATCAGCACATGCAGCAAGAACAGCCACTACGGTCACCTCATTTGGCCTCACGCCAGCCTCTTCCATCTCCAAAAACAAACCAATAGCCTCCTTAGGCTTCCCGCATTGAACAAACCCCGAAATCATCAACGTCCATGACCTCACACTTCTACCGGGCATCTGCGAAAACAAGTCATACGCCCCCTTAATTTCACCCCTCTTTACCAACTGGGTTATCATTATATTCCACGTCACAACATCCCTCTGCGGCATTTTATCAAACACCAACCGCGCATCTCGCTCTCCGCCACACAAAGTATACAAATTCAGAATCATATTCATCAGAAACAAATTCGACTGAAACCCAAGTTTCTCTACATACCCATGTATTCCTCTGCCTTTGGAAACATCCAACAAACGTGTACACGCCTTCAGAACGAAAGAAAGCGTAAAACTATCCGGCGAAACACAAAAGCTCTGCAACTGGTTAAAAAGCAGAATTGCATCAATGGGGTCGTTGCCTTCAGCGAAGGCTTTCAGGCACGAGTTCCAGGCTTCCGTCTCGGGGGTTTCAAGATGTTGGAAGAGTTTCCGGGCATAGGAGAAGCTGGGGTTGAGAGAGCAAACGAAGGCGATTCGAGAGGGAGGGAGGGAAGTGAGAGGAGAGTTGGTTTTGATGAGGTGGGCGTGGAGTTGTTTGAGCTCGGATGGGGAGGCAAAGCTGTGGAGGAGGTGGGTTACTGTGAGGGTTTGGGGAGAGTGAGAGTCTGTATTGTGGTTAAGAGGAGGAAGATGGAGGCAAGTGACCGTTGAAAGCATTGAGACTCTTCAAAAGGTCGTTGCCTTTCAACGGTTTTTCTTCACTTCTGATTCTCTGAAGCGTCGGCCTTGGGTTTTATATAAGGCGCTTCTAAGGCTTCGGGGGTTTGGCATTTGGTTTTAAAAACGTCGATTGCTATTGACATGTTATCTACTAATATATCGTTATGATATATCAGAAATTCGTTCACAAAATTGGGGGAGCCTATAGACTACGAAATGTTAAATGTCAAGACCCGACATCACCAACCTAACACTCGAGTGCAGGTGTAAATGTTTTTGACCACTTGAACTATAATTTCCTTACAAATAATAATTAATGTGATGTCACTTGGTACAACGATCTAGTGGTATTCCTCTTTATTTGTAAGTGAGAAGTCTTGTGTTTGAATTTCGTGGATAACGAATTCGATACTAAATTAGGTTGCCCATTATGTGGCTTAACCAAACTTCCTCTCCTCTTAGTATAAAATACATCGTTGTACTAAAAAGAAAGGATAACTAATGTGATGTGTGTACTGGATATTAGGCCTCGCAATTGCTAGCACAACCCGTTGATCCGACATGAAACAACATGAGAATAACAAATTTTGAGTCAACGTGTTAACGAGTCAGATCATTATTGGATCATCCACTAAAAATAATTTAACGAGTCTAGTCACTATCAGACCACGGGTTAAGAATCTAATAAAATATCATTTGCCAGATCTAAACATTAGACATGAAAATTTCTTGAATGATCCATTAACCCGTCACAAAATGAAACAACACGAGCCACTAACAAATCAAGTCATTATCGAATCACCTATTAAAATAACGAGTTTACCACAACACGACACATTAAGATAACGGATATTACACGAAAATGATACGTACACGTCACGAAAATGATACGTACACGACAAACTCTTCCACCCAGTATTCTAACAGCATAACATTGTAAACCCAGTCAAAAATATAATTTGATGTAAAGGAAAGATAACTTCAGGTGCAAAACTGAATTGACATTTTTGTTCCAATACCACAACCAACCATATACTGAAACCCTTTGGTGTCGAAGGTAAAAAGTATGAGAAGATAACTGATATCCAGTTTTTTACATCTCGAAAATTTCTTACAAACAAGAAAGAAATGAAAGTAAGGTCAATCTATCTGAATTCTCTTGTAAGTCACGTGTGTCCTCTTAAACCCAGCATGAGAAACTGAGTTTACTATGAAGCCATTTGCGATACCAAAGGCCGAAGATGATGGCAGGTTTTACTTGAATAGTTCTGGGTTCAGCCAGTCCCTGTCATACGTAATTCCAATCGACATCAGTTTCAATACTAAAATTGCTTGAAGATAAGATAACATGGACAGTGGTGTATTGCACTCACTTGCTAATGTCATCAAGGTGATCGTCAAAATCTACAACATCCTGCCATTTTTCAGTTGAGATATAATCCAGTAGAACAACATTTGCTGATGGCTCCTTGATGGTCAACTGGTTTCCATCAGATCCAACTAGCTTCCAAGTCCTTGACGCATCCTTCGTGTAGATCTGATTTTTCAAAAGGTAGAAAAATAAAGGTCAAAAACTTGAACGAGATTAGGAGGGAGAATCAAGGGAAAACTATGCTGCAACTAACAAACCATGTAATACGAGATTAGATTAACATTAAGACAAAAAACATGTCAAAGAAGATGGAGTCCGAAAGGATAATAATATTGAACTTCATGTGTGACGTTACTCGAAGAACATTAAGGACGATTGCAAATTCCTTAACCAACTCTATAAGGTAAGGAGTCCAAAAAAGATGCTCCAAAGAACCTCTTCAAGATGTAGTAAGTAAACAGAGATTTTATTAAAACTTCTAATGAAGAGAACAAAATGGAACTGGACAATACGATTTTCACAGACAATGTAGAATACATCATAAATAAGCAACTGGAAAAGATTGATGCTTTGTAGAAAGTAGGTGAATTATGGTATTACCAAATTTCAGCAAAAGCTTATGAAACCAGAAAAATGTACATTCGCTAAATTATATCGTTACTAAGAAAGAAAACTAAATGGTGTATTTACACAACAGGAAGGGAGGAAGAAGGAGCAAGGGAGAGAAATATGGCAACGTATATGACTAATAAAACTTTGTCAGCTCAGTTCGCGAAAAAAATAAAAACTTTACTAGCTTAACCTAAGAAACATGACCAGCCCAACCTAGGAGAATACATTCTACGCTCTTAAGTTGTAAAAGAGGGTTAATCAAGAAGGTCCAAAGCCTCATCTACCTTATATTTAGGTTAGGACTGACCTCCAATCACACGGGTGGTGTTCCACTTGACAAACAACTTTATCGTCGAGTTTACCCTTATTTAATTCATTATATTTGAGTGAGACGACTACCATCAATCTATCCAGTCTTGGAAGTGTTGAAAAAAGCATGTTAGAAACTTCGTAAACGCACAAACTACATAATTTTAGCTCCCAAACCATCTTTCATGCCATATATAGTTCACTTCACACGTTTATCAACATCCATCGTCAACAATTCCAAAGCAGTACTCTAATTTAAAGCCAGAAAAGCATTAAAACCGATACCTATAGAATTCTCAGACTTTTTAGCTAAACCCAGACTACAAGCAGTTCATCCAATCAAATATACTCGTACACTTACCATATCATAAAATCATAAAAAACCGAAGATACATGCTTTTCCATAACCGAAAAATGTAAAAGATACCGACCTGCACTACCGGGCTACGGTCCTTAGTCTTCGACAAAGATTCAAGCTTCCTGTTATCCAGCTAGAAATGGATAAAATGTCGACAAAAATAAGAACCTATACCAAAAAGACTAACAAAAAACACAAACAGAACTTGATGGACTGATGAATTGCATACCAAAAGAATTGCGGCTTGAGGAAGGTAGCGATAAATGTGATCGCCGACATTCTTCGCGATGCCACCGAGCTCGTGATCGTCGAACCTCTCGTTAGCGTGGAAATACCCCACAATGCTCACTCCTTTAGCAGCAAAGTGCTCCTCTATCTGTCCAAATTCAATCACAACAATCAAATTAATCAAATTACAGAGACAGGGCACCATTTGTCTCCCGGGAAAACCCCAAATTGGAGTTTCTGAAACCCTAGAGGAACAAAGTGGTGAGAGAGAGAGATAGAAGGGATTTAGGGACCCACCAGGATGAGGGAGATCTCGAGCTGGGGGAGGAGGCCGATGTGGGAGTGAAAGAGAGGGACGGAGTCGGTGATCTCGACGACGTCGTTCTGAGGGGAGACGCGGCCGAGGAGGATGCCGTTGACGGCAGAGGTCTTGTGCTTGAGAGCGTGGAGCACCAGCTTTATGTAGGCATTTTGTGCGATCTCGTAGCGTAACTCGCCGCCCATCACTCACTGTGATGGACTTCACTTGCTGAATCGCCGGCAATAGAGAAGAGAAAAGGAGAGAGAGAGAGAGAGAGACTGAGGAAGCAGAAGAGGAGAGAGAGTCCAATTTTCAGTGTTTCGTGAGGTTCGAGGATCCGCACGTTGTTCTGCGAATATTTCTAATGTTTTTATTTTTATTTTTAATTTTCATCTTTTTATTTTTGTTGTCATAATTGTAAATTTTGTCTAATGAAACAAAATATTTTAGGGAACTTTAACGAAAAGCACCCGGTACTGTTCATTTTAACGAAAAACCAAATTTTTACACTAAAAAGTCAATCCTGGTACTATTCACTTTACTCTTTATTTTGTCCTTATCATTAAAACTCAAAACTTTCAAGCCATTTTCATTAATTTTCCTAATATTTTATTGTTTTTCTTGGCCACAAAAAGAATATTTTTTAGGAAACTTTAACAAAAATGTTTCAATACTGTTTATTTTAACGAAAAAACATATTTTTACACTAAAAAGTCAATCATGTTACTATTCACATTACCATTTATTTTATCCTTATTATTAAAACTCAAAATTTTCAAATCATTTTCATTAGTTTTCCTTATTTTTTAAAATCACCTATATGATTCTATTTTCTAAACCAAATTGGCTCGTCTTTTTGTCTTAGATTTCTTTTTTTGGCTCATCTTTTTGTGCAATACCGTTTCCAATTACATTGAAATTTTCAAATTGGCTCGTGTTTTAGTCTTAGATTTCTTTTTTTGGCTCGTCTTTTTGTGCAATACCGTGTTCCAATTACATTGAAATTTCCAAATTGGCTCGTGTTTTTGTCTTAGATTTCTTTTTTTGGCTCGACTTTCTGTGTAATACCATGTTCCAATTACATTTAAATTTCCAAATTGACTTGTCTTTTTGTCTTAGATTTCATTTTTTAACTCGTCTTTCTATACAATCCTTTGTTCCGATTACACTGAAATTTCTCGAGTCGGAGGGCCTACGTAACAACAGCCTTGTGGCTAGTTTCATCCTAGCCCACTGGCCAAAGTTCAATCCTGTCTTCGAGGGATGCTTTGGAACAAGATCCACAATGCTAAATAACCATGCCTAGCACACCAGGCAATTAACTCGAAATTCGGCAGGAATTTTGGACCATGGCGTCATTCGGCCAGAGAATAAAAAAAAATAACAAGGGACATTGCCTCAGCCAAGAAAAAAAGAGTGCCAGAGATAAGAGGGTAAATATAATTATATAAGGAATTACTAAGTTAAATGTATCACATTGTTCAATCGAAGGGATTGACATCCACTCAAGATCTCTATGTCCAAAGATCCGGACATACACACTTCACAAAAATTCAAAAACTTGAACAATCCAAATCTCTCTCTTGAATGGTTCGGATCTCTCGGTCCATGGCTCTGGACACAAAGATCCCGAGTGAATCTCATTGCCAATGAAAAATACACAGCCATCAGAAACACAAAAAGAAATTTGAAAACAAAGAGTTAGGACAAACTGTCAAGCTCAAATATGATAAATACAATGAGGAAATCGCTCACATGGTAAAGAATCTTAACGAAAAAACATACGCCCCTGAAGTCTCAACTAGATTAAAATCATGTATCTTGGTAATTTATATATTCCTCACAAGAACCCTAATGAATGAGCACATACAAACTACAGCCCTGGACAGGAAACACGAATAATCGTATCAACGCATCAAATTATAAGTGACCA